TTATATTGAACTAAAAATAAAAGTTTTATATAGAATGCAATTGATATTATTAGGTAATTTTGAAATTAATAAATATTTTTTATTTTAATAATTCTTGTGTAATTAGATTTGCTTTTATTAAAAAAACTCATAATAAATAGATAAATAGGTAATTTGTGTTAAAGTTTTAAATAAACTATTTTAAAACCTATTTTTATATCAATTAATAAATAATTTTTAATATTAATAATACTTGTCTAATTAATTTTTCTTTTATTAAAAAACTCACAATAAATAAATAAATAGGTAATTTGTGTTAGAGTTTTATAGAATCTCTTTAAATATATATTTGTCTAGTGTGATAGAGGTTTATTGAAAACAAAATAGGTAATTTGTGATACATTTTTATAAAAATTATTTTATTTTCTTTAAATATATCCTTATCTAATTAGATTTAATTTCATTAAGAAACTTATAATAAAAGCTATTTTGTGGTAGAGTTTTAGAAAATTTATTTTGTTTTATATATCAATTAATAAATTTTTTTTTTTATTAATTATTATTGTCTAATTAGATTTTATTTTATTAAATAGGTTAGTTTAAATTTTATTATTTAGATTTTAGCTTTTTATATATATTTTTTACATAAATAAATAAATACTTAAATACTGAAACTCTTTGCACATTTAATAATAGTATAGATAAAAACTATTTTTATATCAATTAATAAATATTTTTTATATAAATAAATAAATACTCAAATAGTGAAATTATTTGGCAGAGTTTCTGTAATTTACTCTATAATTCATAATTTTTAGAAATTTCAATTTCAATACCCCTTCCTCTTTCCTTCATGCCTCTATTTATAGGCTTCTTGGATTAGTTGGATAATGACATGTATCATTTTCTGATAATTACATAATCATAATTGGGCCGGGCCGGTTATGTTGTGATAATTATCCATAAAAAATAACTATTATTTTTATATTAAACTAAAAATAAGAGTTTTATATAGACTGTGATTAATTTTATTAGGTAAATTTTAGAGTTTTATATAAACTATTTTTACAAAAACTATTTTTATATTAATTAATAGATATTTTTTTATATAAATAAATAAATATTGAAATACTGAAACACGTTGTATTATTTTATTAGGTAATTTTTAATTAATAAATATTTTTTATTTTAATAATTCTTGTCTAATTAGATTTACTTTTATTAAAAAAAGAACTCATAATAAATAGATAAATAAGTAATCTGTGTTAGAGTTTTATAGAAACTCTTTTAGAATCTATTTTTATATCAATTAATAAATAAATTTTTACATTAATAATACTTGTCTAATTAGATTTCCTTTTATTAAAAAACTCATAATAAATAAATAATTTGTGTTAGAGTTTTGAAGAAATTCTTTAAATATATATTTGTCTATTGTGATAGAGTTTTATTGAAAACAAAATAGGTAATTTGTGATAGAGTTTTATAGAAATTATTTTATTTTATTTAAATATATCATTGTCTAATTAGATTAATTTTATTAAGAAACTCATAATAAAAGTTAATTTGTGGTTGAGTTTTAGAAAAATTATTTTGTTTTGTATATCAATTAATAAATATTTTTTATATTAGTAATTTTTGTCTTATTAGATTTTCTTTTATTAAAAAATTCACAATAATGAATAGATAAATAAGTTAATTTAAATTTTATTATGTAGATTTTAGTGTTTTTAATATTTTTTTTTATATAAATAAATAAATACTCAAACTTTTTGCACATCTAATAATGGTATATAAAAAAACTATTTTTATATCAATTAATAAATATTTTTTATATATAAATAAATAAATATTGAAACTCTTCGGCCCAAGAGTTTCCGTATTTTAGTCTGGAATTCTAAATTTCTATAATTTTCAATTTCTGTACCCCTTCCTCCTTCCCTCTAGGGCCAGTTATATTGTGATAATTATCAAAAAAAAAAAAAAACTATTTTTTTATATTGAACTAAAAATTAGAGTTTTATATAGAATGTGATTGATTTTATTAGGTAATTTTTAGAATATTATATAAACTATTTTTATATTAATTAATAAATATTTTTTTTTATATAAATAAATAAATACTGAAATACAGAAACACTTTGCATGATTTTATTAGGTAATTTTCAATTAATAAATATTTTTTATTTTAATAATTGTTGTCTAATTAGATTTACTTTTATTAAAAAATCATCTTTGTTGATTTGTTGTGTAGAGGGGCCCACAAGCTTGCTTGTAAGGCCCCCGTGCCATCCACATCACAGATATGTGACTTTTCGAGTTTCACCTCACAGTTGGATCAATCGAGTTTTATTAGGTAATTTTCAATTAATAAATATTTTTTATTTTAATAATTGTTGTCTAACTAGATTTACTTTTATTAAAAAACTCATAATAAATAGAAAAATATGTAATTTGTACTTAAATACTGAAACTCTTTGCACATATAATAATAGTATTATATGAATTAATAAATATTTTTTATATAAATAAATAAATATTGAAACTCTTTGGCAAATTTTATGTATTTTACTCTGGAATTCTGGATTTTTAGAATTCTCAATTTTTATACCCCTTCCCCCCTCCTCCATGCCTCTATTTATAGGCTTCTTAAATTAATAGGATGATAACATGTGTCCTTTTATGATAATTACATAATCATAACTGGGCCGGGCCAGTTATATTGTGATAATTATCCATAAAAAATAACTATTGATTTATATTGGACTAAAAATTAGAGTTTTATATATAATGTGATTGATTTTATTAGGTAAATTTTAGAGTTTTATAGAAACGATTTTTACAAAAATTATTTTTATATCAATTAATAAATATATTTTTATATAAATAAATAACTACCGAAACACACTTTCCATGATTTTATTAGTTAATTTTTAATTAATAAATATTTTTGATTTTAATAATTCTTGTTTAATTAGATTTACTTTTATTAAAAAAACTCATAATAAATAGATAAATAAGTAATTTGTGTTAGAAACTCTTTTAAAACCTCTTTTTATATCAATTAATAAATAATTTTTTATATTAACAATACTTGTCTAATTAGATTTCCTTTTATTAAAAAACTCATAATAAATAGATAAATAGGTAATTTGTGTTAGAGTTTTATAGAAACTCTTTAAATATATCTTTGTTTAGTGTGATATAGTTTTATTGAAAATAAAATTGGTAATTTATGATATAGTTTTATATAAAATATTTTATTTTCTTTAAATATATACTTGTCTAATTAGATTTAATTTTACTAAGAAACTCATAATAAAAGTTAATTTATGGTAGAGTTTTAGAAAAATTATTTTGTTTGATATATCAATTAATAAATATTTTTATATTAATAATTATTTTCTAATTAGATTTTCTTTTATTAAAAAATTCATAATAATAAATAGATTAATAGGTTAATTTATGGACCATTTGGTCAAGCACAATTGATTAGAGATTGAATTTTAATTTTATTAGGTAATTTTGAGTTTTATAGAATTTATATCGTGGGATATAATAATTAATGAGAACTCTTTATTGTGAATTAAACTCTTTTTATATTTTGTTAATTTGAATTTTATTAAGTAATTTTGAGTTTTATAGAATTTATATCAATTAATAAATAAATACTGAAACTGTTGCACAAAGGCCGATAAAGTAGTACTATAGTTTATCTTAGCCAAAAGACCAAGAAATGTTAGCAAAAGGCCGACCCAAAAAAATTTAGTACTACACTTGATCTTAGTCAAAAGGCAAAGAAGGTGTGATTATTATTTTTTTAACTCTATAATTTTATAAGAGACTTTGTAATTATTTTTACTTAAAACTAATGTGGGACTTTGTAATTTGAATTAAACTCTTTTTTATATTTTGTTAATTTGAATTAATTTTAATTTTATTAGGTAATTTTGAGTGTTATAGAATTTATATCAATTAATAAATAAATACTGAAATACTGAAACACTTTGCACATTTAATAATAGTACAGATATAATAATACGTTTAATATACATATATATAAGGTAACCATATAGTGAGCTCAATTAGTGGATTGGTATGCTAAGCCTAACAAAGTCGAACCAACCACAAAAAGGTCCATAAACAAGCCCATATAAAGCCTACGGATACATCAGGCCCAAAAGACAAATAAGCCCAAAAAAGCGACAACCGATATAAATGGTTTGAGCCGAATCATTGATCATATTTTATTATTATTTTTTTTTCTTTTTATTTTTTAAAGTACGTGTATCAGCTCCACAACACATATACCATTTAAGTCAAGAGTGTAATTTGAAAGCGAGATCTTAAAAACTTACCTCCCAGATCCGCTATGCCGATCACATTGAAGGGGTCCCTTTTAACAATTGCAAATAATAACCACTGAAAGTCTTTTGCTACATCGATTCTTCTATCCTTTTTGAATTGCATATAAATGATTATGGGATGTCTTTGCTAGGTGGAATCTTTTAACAGTGTGAAGCATTTGGATTACCACCAATTTATAGGTATGAAATATGTATCAAACATAAATAAATAAATAAACACCTCTAATATTATTGTTTTGGGTATATTGTTATTTTAAAATGAATATGCTTGATAATAAAACTAAAATTCATTCTAAATACTTCACTAATTTAATTTTGACACAGAGACACATTGCAACTCGGTTTCTCTTCTTGTTTAATGTTATCCTCTTTGGTTTAGTAAAAAAAAAACAAAAAATTCAAATGGTGTAAAGTGTAATTTATTTAGGCTATTCAACTTTTTTTTATTATACAATAATAAAAATATTAAGCTATTCAACTTTTTTTATTATCATTAAAAAATTAAAATAAATGTTATAAATAATGAAAAATGCTTACTAGTTCAGCAATAGATTTTGAAGAAGTAATTAATGAGAAAAAAAAAAAAAAATTTTTTTGTGTGTAAAAGAAAATTAAAAATTCCACTTATTTTAATAAACAAGAGAAAATATCGCATTTCCTTCATTTTCCGCCCAACTCGGTGGATCCAAACGCAGGGAAAAGAATTGTATTCCAAACAAAGCGCCCAAATACTCGAGTTCGGACTCATATTTCCGTGGAGGAAAAGTCCGTACACCCGAGTTTCGAGTTTCAAAGTCCACTCTCCGGCGACGTCGTCGACGAGGTATGGATTCAATTTCGTATCCTTATAGTGAAATGATGATATATTCTCTTGTTTTAATTAGGCAATTGATTCAAATCGTCCTTAGTTCTATCGATTATACATGTTCACACACTCATATATATATATATATATATATATATATATATTTGCAGTGATTGTGTTCTTGGCGAGGTCGCACAGCTCAATTCAGATGAATGCTTTTGATACTTTGATGTTTTATGTGTGCCCTGGTCTTTGTTTTTGAAATTTGTCACAAGCATATTGTGACCGAGAATTTTAGTTTGTTAGGTTAATTGTTTCACGTCTTCACAAATGAATTGATTATCTTATTTTTCTAAATGATTGGGCCTTTTACTCTCATTTGGCATACTTGTTATGCGTCGGCCATTTTTCCCCTTCCCTCTGCATATACTGAATATTCTGTTCAGAAGTTAAGAAGTTAAGTACATAAGAAAGAAGAGTTCTACAATCGTAGTTGGCGTGATATCTGCTCTACTAATACAGATTAGTTTATAGCACATTTGCTTCACGATTAATCTCAAATCTTATTTTTTTGAAGAGGCCAAAGATTATATTTTTTTGGGTAACAAAGGGTGTCCTCGCCCTGTTTTTGACCTGGACTATTACGGTATTACCTATGGTATGCAGAATCACCCCCCAACCACGGGTATCAGGTAAGCCTAGGGTGAAACTCGACCTCCCAAGAGTTGAACACAAGACCTCTGGGTCATGTCCAAAGGCCTTATGCTAACTCAGTTACCCCGTAGGGTAAAGTATTAATGGTCACTTCAGTTGGGAATAAAGCATGATGGCAAATATCTGGTCTACCTGTAATTGTTGCCAATTCATTGGTAATAAAAGATATTGGATTAACAATGAATATATTTATTACTCTATCATATCCACGTAGAAATTTACACTCTTCCATAACGGTGGATGATTATGCCGGTAATATTTCATTAACTATTAGTACATTTCTCAAATGTTCAAGCAAAATTTCATTTGTTATATTAGTACATTTGCAGATTTGCAAGCACAATCCTATCTATCTTCATGAGGCCAGAATTTTTAATTTTGCTTTAACCATTAAGAAACTATGGGTGAAAATAATATATGATTGTGGTTGATTGGTCTAGAATTTGTTTGGCAGTAAAAGAAATTGAATTAGCATGGAATAAATCTACCAATTCATGATAAATGTTTTATTGAATATTAATACTTTTGGCACAATCCCATTTATTACTAGGGGGTCAAAGTGTTTAATTTTGTTGGTCATTAAGGAACTCTTGATGGGAACAATATTTGTTTGTGGTTAGTGTAACATGATATTCAATTTAGTTACCACCAATGGCTTATCCCAAATGATATCTCATCATCCTTCCAAATGAAAGGTTGAGAGTGTGCTTTACCAACCCCTCTCCTCCTCACCTCCCATCCCCCTTCTCCCCAAATCAAGGTATACTGACTGGAGAAAGCTTTGCAGGGATATTCACCGATTATTGTCAATCTCAACAACTTCTCTTGAATAGAAGTTCAATATGGCTGCCTCAGAAGATAATAGTGCACTCTTTCCAATCTTCATCTTGACTATAATGGCTTTGCCATTAGTGCCTTACACAATGTTGAAGTTATGTCGTGCAGCCTCCATAAAGACAAAGAGTATCCATTGCCAATGTTCAGTTTGCTTCCACTCTGGGAAGCACCACAAATCCATTTTTAAACGGGTAAGTTTCCATTTAACTCTAGATTATTTGAATTTTAAATCATACTTGCAATCGTGTTTACTTGTATTCTGATTCTATTGATTTACTTTTCAGATCTCAAACTTTTCAACATCCAGTAATCTAACTCTTGTGTTGCTTTGGGTCATCATGGCAGTCCTGGTTTATTACATCAAAAACATTAGCCATGAGGTAATTTATATATCATTGCTTAATTCTTCATTAATTGGGTTTGATTTGGCAATTAAAGACTTTAAGCATAAATGATACAATTGTACGATTCATTACAGAGTGTAGAGTTTTATTTAAACAAAAGAGTCTATTTTTGTGATAATCATGTTATCAAATCAAGGGTAACTTGCACCGACTTCCCATGAGGTTTGGTCTAATTCAAGAACCTTTCATCCCCTTATCAATTGTCGGCTTAACTATTCTTTATTCTTTAAGCATAATATTTCAAAAAGTTTCCTTTAGCCTAATGGTGGGATGGTGATGTTGTTTATTCTTCCTTCTTTTCTTTTTTTTTTTTTTCTTTTTTTCTTTTTTTTCTTTCTAATAAGTGATGGTGGGATGGTCCGATGGAGATTTATGTAGTCTCCTATTAATTATATGATTCTTTTAAAACAGTTTTATTAATGTTTTAGTTCGTAGTGATTTGTCCAATTCTTTTTACCACCAATCACATATTATGATATTATCTATTTTTATGTTGTTTTAAAAATGCTTGAGCTGTTCCTCGTAAAGGAAATATCCTTCTGCATGTTTAAAAATGTTTTGAGCTGTTTCTCATAAAGGAAATATCCTGCTGCATGTTTTCTTTTTCTTTAGATCGAAGTTTTTGAGCCATTCAATATTCTCGGATTAGAACATGGGGCTTCAGATTCAGAAATAAAGAAGGCATATAGGAGACTCTCCATTCAATACCATCCTGATAAAAATCCAGATCCAGGTTGAGGTTTTTCATATCTGCATTTTATTTGTTATTTTTTCCCCATACACGTTGACTGAAATCTGATGCTTCTTAGCTGTCATATGTTTATTGACTTCATTCTTTTCTTTTATCTCAGATGCTCACAACTATTTTATAGAGTACATATCAAAGGCATATCAGGCTTTGACAGATCCAATATCACGCGAGAACTTTGAAAAATATGGCCATCCAGATGGTAGGCAGGTAGCATATCCTTGCTACTAAGGAGGGGATAAACTATCTATTCATTAAGAAATTTGATTTAGAAGAGAGTTGACCTAAATCTAAGTGAATTTGACATTTTTGTTTGGATCAGGGGTTTCAAATGGGCATTGCACTCCCTCAGTTTCTGCTGAACATTGATGGAGCATCTGGTGGAATATTATTACTAGGGATTGTTGGAGTTTGTATTCTTCTGCCACTGGTTATGGCTGTAATATATTTGTCAAGGTCATCAAAATACACTGGAAACTACGTCATGCATCACACATTATCTACATATTATTACTTCATGAAGCCTTCTTTGGCCCCAAGGTATACTATTTCTTTATATGTGCAACCTGACTTATAAAGGCCTCACTAGCTGCCATGAAAGTTTTCAGTCCATAATTCCACCACAACCCCCCCCCCCGCCCCCCCCCCCCCCCCCCCCACACACACACACACACACACAAATATATATATATATATACACACACACATATATATATTGCTCTCCCCCCTTCCCCGTTATTCTGCTTTCTTAAAATGTGGTCAAGTATATCTCTAGTTCTCTCTCCATCCAGGGTGAAATAAATAAATAAAAACCACGATTCTCTGTTTAAATTGCTCTGAAATAGTTCTCATGCAGGCCGTAATGCTAGTGTTACTTAAACAACGAATAAATTGTATTTTTACCCCTTATTTGTGCTTTTCCCTAATATTACCTTAGTGATACAGCAAGGTCATGGATGTTTTCATAAAGGCTGCTGAGTACATGGAAATCCCGGTTCGTCGGAATGATGGAGAACCCCTTCAGAAACTGTTTATGTTAGTCAGGAGTGAGTTGAACTTGGACCTTAAGAACATTAAGCAAGAACAAGCTAAGTTTTGGAAGCAGCATCCAGCCCTAGTAAAGGTGATATGCTTGCCGTCTTTAGGTTGTGTCAACTGTCGAGCAGTCCATGTCCTATTATTCTCATCCTTGGTATTTCGGTTTACATAACAACAATTATATCCTTTACAGACAGAATTGTTAATTCAAGCCCAATTGACTCGTGAGTTGGCGGCTTTATCGCCAGCTCTACTGCGTGATTTCAGACATGTGCTTGAACTTGCACCTCGCCTTCTTGAAGAATTAATGAAGGTAATATTCCTATGCCTTTTTTTTTTTTTTTCTTTTTTCTTTTTTCACTGCCATTTACCTTTGTGATACATTAATGCTGCTGCATGCTGTTTCTCTTTTATGAAACATTTTGTTGTGCATATTTTCAAGTTAATCTCTGTAGACTCACTTCTGAAATATTTTAATTTCATACTTCAGAGTTCTCTGGACATTGGGTGGCAAACTTAGTTCCATAAACCTCTAGACCATGATAGCGATTTTTCTGGAGAACTCTTCGAAAGTCAATTTTCTAGTGCCTCCCTGATTTTTATGGAAAAGTTTGCATTAACCTATCCATTTTTGTTTTTGAGTAATTAAATAATACGGAGTACTAGTTTTTTCTTTAATTGTTAAAATACAAATAATACTCTGTCCAAACACCGTGGGATATAGCCCTTACTGTTTTTTGCGAACTTATGAACTGGCCTGGTTTCATTCTGTTGGCTGCTTACATTCTATTGCCAACCCCTCTCACCACCCACTTGTCCTTGTTGGGCAGCTGCGAGACCCCGAGCAGCTCAAGCTGTTTTTTGTTGAGAGATTTTTCAAGACCATTTATTATGTCAATTAAACAAGCTAATTGCTGCCTGTGGTCTAATAACTGCATCATTTTCTCTACTTGCTATGGAAAGCAGAATTATTCACTTAAAGCATTAGACTAACTGTTTCATAGCAATAAACATTACAGGACTGCCACTAGAATTCCTAATTAATACATGTTGGCAATTATTTTCTGAAACCAGCTTTTTTAAAATATCTGTCACGACTTACAAGTATTGTTTTTAAATATTTATATGATATCAAATTTTCATCTAGTAGGTTGGGAATCAGGGACTGGTTAAGAGTCTAGCTAGCACAAGTTGTTCGAATTGTCAAAATGAGCCCTAACAGTAACTGGCTGAGCTTGGTTTGAACTCAGCTCATGCTCAACCTGTATTGACCTGAACTGGGTGTGAACGCGCCACTAAGCTAACATGGTGTAATTGTTTACACTTTTATTACCTTTCCTCTTTGGGCCCTGGACCTGTCATTGCTGGCTCTTAGAAGTAAAAATCTAACAAGAGGATAAACTCTACAAACTTGTGAATTGTATATCTGTAGTACTGGAGAAGGAAGATATTGGAACATGTAATATTTATTTGGTGGCTGGTGTAGGTCTCTCTCTCTCTATCTCTCTCACTCGCGCGCGCGCACGTTTATAACCTCAGTTGTAATGATTAAACTTGATTATTTCTGCTAAAGTTGTTTTTCTTCCTGTCCTCTACAAGTTGTAATAATTCATATATACTGTGGATACAGATGGCAGTTATACCACGCAGTTCGCAAGGGCATGGATGGCTGAGGCCTGCAATTGGGGTGGTTGAGCTTTCCCAAAGCATTATTCAGGTGTTGTATCAATAAAGTTGCTATCCATGTTCCATTTAAGCAAAGAGATAACTAAGTAAATTTGCTTTCCTGGTTGACCATCATATGGCAAGCTGTCTTTCTTATTTTACTTTTACAAATGACTTGTGATACACTCTTCACATGTGCTGCTAATCATGCATTGATGCACGTCTATTCTTGCATCCATTCAGAGGGTGTGTGAAGCTAGGTTAGCATAGTATTGAGCCAGTGAGAGCGCAAATGGGAGCAAGAGTGACTGTCTAAGAAATGTCTACCGTCTAGAGCTTCTCAGTTCTCTGGACTTGGCCATGGAAGTATGTGTTCACATATTATATGTGATTTCAGTATATTTATTATTCACAAAAGGATTAAAAAAAAGAGCTTCTGTACAAAATTAAACTTAGCTTGGTGGCATTTAGCGAGCAACTTTTGCTTTGCTGTTCAAGCCCCTGCAAGTGGACCTATTTTTAAGGAGCAAACTACTCTCAGAACCCTTGGAGTGTACTTGATCTGCAACCCCCTGACTGCCCAAAAATTGAACTCGCAGATTTAAAAGTCAAATGCGGATTATCAGGATTGTGTGTTGGAACTGCAAATTTGTGTGGATTGTTCAGCAGTCTTCTCCCACCTAGGCAGATTATGTATTTTAGGTGTGGAGGTGGCACGAAAATGGAACCCTTCCAATAATTCCGTATCTTGTGAAGTGAGTCCCTTGTTTGTTGTTTAGAGTTTTTGGGAGCAACCACACTAAAATGGTCCATTCAATATTATTTTTTTTAAGCATCTGGACTGAGCCTGTTATTCTATTCTAAGCCTGAATGATTCATTTTTCAAAAATGTTAAGGATGTACTAGGATTTTAGGAGATCACATTTTTTCGGTGTATTGATAACTCATTTTACATGGCCAAGGAAATCAAAATATGATTTTTTGCTACACGTGTAAACACACCCAATTAGTTCTTGTGTCGTATGCATCCAACTTACCTTATGGGACTGATTTAGTTTTATTTAAATCATTGCTTGACCTAAAGTCTCTCACGTGATTAATAAACTTACCGTTCATTCCTTAAAAATTCAGTCCTTTCATTCTGTTTCAAATCTTAAAATTTTTTTCTGTAGATTTCCTTTACCTTCTTCCCAGTAATGAATCTAAGATTGTAATTTCTGCTTCATGCTGACTGCTGTTTTTTTGGAATTTGGAAATATTGTAATGCAGGCAGTTCCACTTAGTGCAAGAAAAGCAACTGGAGGATCCAGTGAAGGAATTGCTCCCTTTCTGCAGCTGCCACACTTCAGTGAGACCATTATAAAGAAGATTGCGCGAAAGGTAACTTAATTTTATTTTCTTTGTTGTTTACTCTGCAGTAGGGTTCTCAGTTCCACTGCAATATTATCTTTGTTTATGCCTTTTCATTCTCAGCTCGCTCCTTCCTTGGGATCAATTTTGTTTCATCTTTTGGCTAAAACTTTTCCTTGGAACAATAATAATTTGGTGATCACATGCTCCTTTCAAAGAAAGCTCTAAACCGACTCTAAACTTGAGTCTTCTTAAGATCTGGAGAAGCTTGTGAGGTCAGATTCCCCTCCAGTATAAACATGTTGATAAGCTAGGTGCCAATTTTTTTTGATAGGTGAGCAGACACACAACTCACACACTCAAACACCATGGCCGTTGCAATGGGTACTTGACCTCTCAACATCCCACGTTGGAGGAAGATGAAATACCACCAGGCTAGACCCTTGCTCTTTGATCTGTTGGCCCAGTTCCGTTTCGTGGTGAAAGCTCCTTCGCTGCCGCGTGTTGATTGTTCTGGCTTAGCCCCCTCGACCGATCTTGTGGTATTCGACGGCGCTTTTGATCCAGCTTTTTCGGGCCAACGTCACTGGTCTGATCTGTGAAATATCCTGTGAGAATGTTGTCCATCGCCTGCCCCCTTGAACCTTCCCTAGAGACTAACATAAACTGCAACCTCGATAACTCTGTCCCCAGTTTCTTCACCCCTGACAACACAGACAGTCTTCACCCCTGACAACACAGACAGAATATCGGAGACGGGAGTGATGCGAGAATATATATATTTTAAGGGTATCTTTGACATTTGAACAAAATTCTACTTTCATTAAGTGTTGATCTGTATTAATTGATAAATGAAAAACCCTTTCACCTAAAATTCTAATTTATAGTGAATTATCGAACACACTTAATTTGAGAATCATTGAATTTGTTCAGTTTTAAGTACTTAACTGAGCTATAAAATAGTATCTTAGTTTTTGTTTTCCCCCTGATAAATAAGTTTGTTGCCATTGTACTCTGGAGACGTGTTATCCAGTTTGTATTCACCTTCGCCGCCGCGTGTTGATTGTTCTGGCTTAGCCCCCTCGACCGATCTTGTGGTATTCGACGGCGCTCTTGATCCAGCTTTTTCGGGCCAATGTCACAGGTCTGATCTGTGAAATATCCTGTGAGAATGTTGTCCATCGCCTGCCCCCTTGAACCTTCACTAGAGACTAACATAAACTGCAACCTCGATAATTCTGTCCCCAGTTTCTTCACCCCTGACAACACAGACAGAATATCGGAGACGGGAGTGATGCGAGAATATATATATTTTAAGGTTATCTTTGACATTTGAACAAAATTCTTAGAACTACTTTCATTAAGTGTTGATCTGTATTAATCGATAAATGAAAACCCTTTCACCTAAAATTCTAATTTATAGTGAATTATTGAACACATTTAATTTGAGAATCATTGAATTTGTTCAGTTTTAAGTACTTAACTGAGCTATAAAATAGTATCTTAGTTTTTGTTTTCCCCCTGATAAATAAGTTTGTTGCCATTGTACTCTGGAGACGTGTTATCCAGTTTGTCTTCACCTTCACCTTTCTATTGATGTCGTTCCTACCCCCCTCCTCTCATATTCTGGATGCAGAAAGTGCGGACATTTCAAGAAATTTGGGACATGACCTCACAGGAGCGTGCTGAATTGCTCACACAGTTTGCTGGGTTTTCTGCTGCTGAATTCCAAGATGTGGAGATGGTTCTCGAAATGATGCCTGCCATAACAGTAGACATTACATGTGAGACAGAAGGTGAAGAGGGAATACAAGAGGGTGACATTGTCACAATGCACGCTTGGGTTACACTCAAGCGTGGGAATGGCCTGATTGGAGCCCTTCCACATGCTCCATATTTCCCTTTCCACAAGGAAGAGAATTTCTGGTTGCTGCTAGCAGACTCTGCCTCAAACGATGTGTGGATGTTTCACAAGGTTAATTTCATGGATGAAGCTGCGGCTATTACTGCTGCTTCAAAAGCAATTCAAGATTCAAAAGAGGGGTCCGGGGCTAGCTTGAAGGAGATAAGTGTGGCTGTTAAAGAAGCAGTTGAGAGAGTGAAGAATGGGTCAAGGCTGGTAATGAGTAAGTTCCAAGCCCCTGATGAAGGGACCTACAACCTGACTTCTTACTGCTTGTGTGACTCTTGGATCGGTTGTGATAAGAAGACAAGCTCGAAGCTGAAGGTTTTGAAACGAAGCCGAGCAGGGACAAGGGGTGGTGCTATGGTGGAAGAGGGACCAAATGTGGAGGATGGAATTGAAGCGGAAGAGGAGGAAGAAGAAGATGAATATGATGATTATGAGAGTGAATATAGTGAAGATGAGGATGTTCAAGACACACACAATAAAGGAGCTGTGGTCAATGATGGTTCAGGATCTGAGAAAGAGTAGAAACTTATTTCCTTTTACTTTCATTATCATTGTTATTTGTAATTTTTGAGAAGAAAACAGAGAAAGGCTGGGGGAGGGGGGAATTCTGTTTAATTTCTTTCATATTACCCTTGCTGAATATCTGGGCTTCTTCCCAACGACACATAGTTACTTTAGCCTATTACTGTATTTTCACTTGACAGGAATAAGATATGCATGGATGGAGATCTCTTGACGGGTTGAAGTAAAAGATGGGTCAAAGCAATAAAGCCCGATATTGAATAACCATGGTTTTTTTACATTTTAGCCTTTTTAGGGTTTATCTTTGGTTGCTAATGCTATGTTTGGTTGGTTGGAGGGAAGGATTGAGGAGAGGGGGAATAAATTAACTTTTTCGTGTTTGGTTGGAGGGGAGGGAAGAGAGGGAGGAAGAGGAGCGAGAGAGCAAGAAGTGATAACTAGATTTTTCATTTCCAACCTTCCTAAAAATTTATAATAAATATAGAATTTTTAAATTTGTAAATAATGATTGGCATATTAGTAAAAATAATACAAAAATCTTCTTTCCCTTTCAACCAAACAAAAAAAATATGTCACCATATTTTTTATTTCTACTATCAATTCAACCAAACAAAAAGTGGGAGAGTCATCTTCCTTTCGTTAGGGATGCCTCATTTATCCCTTTCATTTATTTTTCCATCCTTCCAACCAAACAGAGCGTAAAATTTCTGTAGTGTGGATGGAAGGGCTGTTTATATTGGCTGTTTTTCAACTATTAATTTGCACCAATTTGCCATATGTTTTTATGTTTATGCTGTGGCTTTGGCTGGCTTCTCTTAAATCAGTAGCAGTAGAGAGATTTAGAGGTGGAGGTTGCACGTTTCATCTTTCCTCCCTCAACGGTTGTTTCTCTCCCATTGAGTTTATGGCCGGTGAGAGAACGGTTTTCAAGGGTTTAGAGCTGTTGAGATTGAATATATGATCAAGTCTCTCTTAAATACAAATGTTTTTTTTTTTTTTAAATACAAAAGTTGGCATATCCTATGTAAATAAAAAATTAAAATTTTCCTAAATCAAGTATTTCACAACATCAAGACAGCTGTTAGTGGGACACACAGGCTCTATCCGGATCCTGGAAAGAAGAGTAGGAAAGAAAATTGAAATTCTAAAAACTACTTTAGGAGACAACATTTTAAAGCATTTCTTTTCCTTTCCCTCCTTTTTGAGACATGACGAAAGCTTCGCGATGAACAAAAAAGAACCTTGTACCAAATTTTATCCAACTGCTATTGATAAAAGAACTCAAAATCTATGAAGCCATGCTGAAAGTTTGAAAGGCTTTTTTCCAAACATTTGCCCGTCACCAAATTTCTATTTAACACTCTAGTTGCCGCATAAGTTAGGAGAAATTATTATATGATACCGGCAACATTGGTCTAAGTTCAATCATTACGTGACACATCAGCAAGCACGTTAGAGACTATAATGTATGCCAACATGTTGGATCCAAGCGTTATGTACATTTGAATGTAATTGTAGTGTCCAATTGTGTATTCCATCTTTACATCTTTAATAATAGAGTTTTTTTACCTCTTTAAGAATAGAGAGTTACAACCCAGAGGTTACGAGTTCGAAATGAAAAACAGTGAGTTACGCACATCTAACCCTTTCCAAATTTCACAATGACGTGCACATCTAACCCTTTCCAAATTTCACAATGACGTGCACTGTGGCTGTTTTTCTCTCTCTACTAAGAACAATTCATACAAAATAACTGAACAAGTCTCGTGCCTATACCCCATTTGCTGAACTCGTGAGGTCACCTGCTAGAGCGACGATAGTTTTCATTCTTAAAACTTATGTTAGAACAAAATAATGAAGAATTTTCTACTTATATTACAAATGTTAATGATGGTGTGAGGATTACAGCAAGCGATTTTATCTACTTCCAAAAGATATTCAAGAAATCACAGTTTAGTTTATTTTTTTCAATTCTTAGTCTTAAAAAAAAAAAAAAAACAGAAAGAAAATATGAAATACAATGAGACCATTAGAAGCATTAGTGTGGATTGTGCTCTAATTTATATTGGTAAAGTTTAGACATGCAAATAATTCAGAATTCATTTACTGCGAATGTGTTAATGATGGTATATGTTGTAACTGATTTATTCTCCGAATTCATGATACACACGCAGACATTACAGAATACAGACTAGTAAAACATTCCAATATTATTGGGTATTTCAAAACAACTATAAATGAAACAAGAACAAATAATATGATCTAAGAGAACACTGTAAAGGTTATTTAGAAGATACATCCAAACTCACTTTCATCTCATTCGCGGAGAAGAAATTTGTTTTGTGCCTCAGTCACGTCCCTCGGAGGAAGATCAAACTCACTTTCATCACATTATAGATGCTACATAATGAAGACCACAGAATCCAAACTATCTTGAGAAATCATCAGTATCACGAACAATCTTCATCGAGGGTAGCACAACTGCAGCCACTGGATTGTTCTCGAACCCGCCACCTTCATCAATAATCAGTCTAAGGCCTTCAATATGAAGCTTTCCATGGTGACCGCTTACCACAAGAGTTGGTTTCTCAGTCAATTCCTACAAAATATCATTCATTTCTAGGTTACGATGATCCTTTATTTTCTGTTCCGGCTATTTGAAGCCATAAAAGTCACTTCATGATCAAGAATACAACTGTGAATGTCACTCAAAAAGACCAGGATGCTATTTAAGTAGTAACGGCAAAAGGAAGTTCTACTAACACTTCGGACCTGCTTCGTTTAATTTTCTAAGAACAGTTTTCTATTTTCCGACAATTGAAAATCAGATACAAATATTTGTAAACTCTGTTAAAAAAAATGTCCATTTTCATACAAGTGTCTTTTATAGCGTTTTCTAAGTTCTTGAGAATTTTTTTTAGAAAACTGAACCATTATTTATTGGGTAAGAATAATTTTTTTTTGCTGACACGAATACCGAAATAGGACAATTGGAACCAGTGAGGTATCACCTCTGGGATATCCCATACGCTTTTCCTCCCACTGAGTGCCTCCACTTTAGGGATCCTGGTGTCCCTGGCTTTCAGATACTTCAGCTGCTCTGCTACACCTTTTGCTTTCTCCAAACCAGCATGCACAGCAATAAATCTACAGTTTTTAAGTCCTTCCTCAGTCATTACACAGACCTCATCCTACAAAGAGTAAACATCACCAATACCCACTTAACTCTTATCTTTATTCCCTTGATTCAAATCAAATTACCAACAATTTGCCAAACACCATTCCAGATTTCAAATTTGTTTCCCACAGTTCACTTCAAATAATAAACAGCACGCTTATCATTTCATTTGCAATTGAAATCACGAAAGAAACAGCAAAGATTACAAGCCTGACCTCTTCGTGGACCCAAACCATATCAGCAAGAAACTTTTTGTGTTCATCAGGAACTGCCTTCATCAAATCTGTACACAGACAGCTCATAGAATAAGTTATCACAAATTCAATCACAACAATCAGACACAAACAAGCATTCAAATTGAACAAAGTAGAATCAAACAGAAAGGACTCATTTGATACGGAAAAAAATAAGATTCACATAACGAAAAACAAGACTAACAACTAAGGATCACTCTAATTGAATACAAAAAATCCATTAAAATTTGAACAACCAAGAATTGTGGCAATAAAAGCCGGTTCTTTAAATCATTATAGAACAACTTAATAATCATTCTGATCACAAATACTACAACAAGAAGCAAGCCTTTTCCTGAGGTCGGCTACATAAATCCTATATTTTCATTCCTCTTTGTTCAAGGCCACAACCTCAGTCAAATCACATGCTATTGTATCTTTTCTTACTAACTCTATCACGCTTGGTTCTATTTGGCGCAGTTAAGGCAGGTGTACAAACCAACTGATTTTTTCGCATTTTATATCCAATTTGTGCCACTCCAACCATCTTCCAAATGTTATCATTTCTAATTCTATCCTAGTGCTCAAATATACAACACATTTAACTTTGAAGCAGAGCAACGCATTGCCAAAAACCAAAATAATGAAACAAAACAACCCATTTAACATTGAACAAACAAAAAATGACACCAATCAAGCAAAGAACAATCATACCAGCAGAACCATGTGGAACACCGTAAGATTCAAAGGTCGGACCGGCGTCGTAAATGGAACCTTTATACTCGACCTCCTTAGCAGCATTGAATTTAACCTTAATTGACCCAGCCCATCTCCTTCCTTGCAAATGCATCTTCTCATACCCATCTCCCGTATACCATCCTTCTCTCTCCTCACTCGCCTCGAACTCCTTCCACGTCTCCGAAAACTCCGACCCGTCCGGCGGCGAAGGAAGAACTCCGACGAATGCCGCGAAAGCGAGATCGTGGTTCCCGGAGAGGAAGACATGGGATTGCTTGGGGTATTTGGAGGGCAATGAGATCAAGAAATCGATGACCTTGCGAGTATCGGGGCCTCGGTCGCAGTAATCGCCCAAGAAAACGATCAAAGCTGTTTCGAAATCAGATGGGCCGATTAGGGTTTCGAGATTGAACCAGAGGTTTTGGAGCTTGGTGATGAATCCATGGACATCACCTATGCAGCATACCACTCTCTCTTTGCTGGCTTTTGCTTCTTTCACAACACCCTTGTGGTCTTCTTCCATATATGTGTTTATGTGTGTGTCCGTGTGTGATATATGTATATGTATAGGGGGAGAGACTGCCGTAGAGAAGTAGATAACAAGAAAATGGAGAGGCTGACTGTTGGTCGTTAGAATCAGGATCTCTCTGGCTGCTTTTGCAATTTGCTTCTCTGCTCTTCGGATATTTATATTATTTTCACTCTACTTCTCTATAATTTGAGTAATACACTAGGATATAATTTGTGATACCAAATGCGCCCCTGACACTACCGACTTGTTTGTCATCACTATTCAGTACTGTAAAATCAAATACTATATGGTTCTTGTTTATAAAAATATTTGTATTTATTTTGAAATATTTAAATATTTCGCTGCTCTAATATGTGTGTCAGTGATTTGTAACATGTGGTGGTCTGTATGACTAAGTTATTGCATGATGATAAATTAAATTATATTAGGCATAATTCAGAGGCCTAATTGATAGGGTGTGCCTAACTCCCTAAACAAGTGGGTCCATATTCAAATTCCTTCCTTCCTTAATTATTCAGGTTATAAAGAAAAAAAAAAAAAAAACAAATTGACAACATATTGTCGTTATGTTCAACTGAAAAACATAGGTATTCCTACACGTATGTATTTATTAACAGAAGATTTGGATTACAAGTAGAAGTATTTAAATTCTACTACTATACTATTTTATTAGTGTATTTGTGAAATAAAAGAGAGTATTTTTAGAAAAATTGAATGAAATGTAATAGACAAGGAAGACAATGAAGTCTAGTTAAGGTTTCATCCTTTGGATCTCAACAGTGAAACCATCTATCAAAAAGGCAGAAAAGATATCTTGCCAATGAGTTGGGCCAAAATATATTCACAATGAAGTATTACGGTATTCCTCATATCAGATAATGTGTGAAGTATATATTTATTGATCCGTGACTCGTTCAAATCAGAACACTAGTTGTCATAGTAAGTAAAGGACGTGAAAAGTGACCAAAAATAACATATGAGAGATTATTAAAAAGAATTTTTAAAAATTAAATATAATACGCATAATGTTTAGCTATTCATTGGTAAGTAGTTTCGCTCTACTCACCCCTTAGATGTTCCAATAATAAAATAACACATCAACTTTAATAACAAATTCAGCAAAATAATGAAAATAGAAAAAGAAAGTCGAATTCACCGTTTTAATTAGATAATCACCCTTTCTCTTTTCTCTCTCCTTTTTCATCGATTCCCAACTCACGCCCCTCTCTCTCCACTGTTCTTCTTCTTCACCCTTTCTCTTTTATTCTTCTTTGCCCTTTCTTGCACTGCAATTGACGACTCCTTAGACATCCACATGACCAATTCCGTCTACTCCATTCCTCCATATTCTTTGGATGAAACCTTTGTAAACAGGTGCAAATTGGTGAACGCTGCACATCGCAACTTCTAATACGACCAGGCTTGCCATATGCATCACATTTAGTTTGTTGAGCCGACCACCGAATGTCCCATGTTTCCTTTCTGTTTTCCTGGTACTTCAGAGTTAGAGTTCCATCAGAACTTAAGGTCAAGTATAAATTTTTAAAAGTGTATCTTGCATCTACGATTCCTTCCTTCTCATCTGCAACTTCAAATTTGAAGTAGTTTGCTGAAGGCATGTCAGGTATGCCAATAAAAACCTGGCCATTCCATGGACCACTCCGCCAGTATCGATGACTACCATTCCATATATATGCTTCTGGAATATTCAGTGGATTGATGCCGAAAGTGATGAAAAAGAGAAATAAAAGAGAAAGGGTGAAGAAGAAGAACAGTGGAGAGAGGATGGTATGAGTTGGGAATCGATGAAAGAGGAGAGAGAAAAGAGAAAGGGTGATTATCCCTACTTCTTCTTTTTTAATTATTTTGCTGAATTTGTTATTAAAGCTGATGTGTTATTTTGTTATTAAAAGACCTAAAAATGAGTAATGAGTATGATAAAACTACTTATCGGTGAGTAACTAAGTATTGTCCACTGGAAAAATGACATGACATGTAATAGAAAGAATTGAAGAATCTGTTGCGGATGGGATCAATGCATGGATGACAGTGACTATTGGCGCTGGCTTTACTAGTATCTAGATGCCTCTTCTTAGGGATGTTTCAGAATTAGGCTACCTAATTTTAACAGCTTATAGTTGTTGGGAGAGAAGTCATAAATGAGCTATCCTAAGGAGAGGTTACCACAAAATTTGAGGTGCGAGTACACGGCAGAATCATGATCCAGGAAAAAGAAATCCAACTGCAGAAACAAGAGTAGCTATGAAGCATGATAGCTGCACAAGAGGAAAATATACGTATCAATAAATATATATGTACATACATGCCCACAGCTTTTTGTGTGCATTATTTGACCATTTGCGTGTAACTATCAGGCTGAAATACACTCCTCTCTCTTATGATAAACGAAGACAAAAGAATAATCTGGAAAGATAATGCAAGCAAGAAAAAGAAATAAGAAAGAAAATTGTTTGTCTTCTCCATTCCTGGACTAATAATACAATTGAGTACTTTCTATTGCATAGATAATTCACGAGCCCGTTCAGAACTTCAGCTTGTTATCTTCTTTGGAAGTTCAAGAACTTGATGCCGTAGGCAAAGACAAAGAAGAATAGAACGACCCAGCCGACATGGGCCACAGCAATGGCAGGAAGAAAGTCGTATTCAAAGCCTAAGTAGCTTTTAAGAAATGCCTTTACTGTCACGTTTTGCAGTCCAGGTACCTCAAGTTCAGTGTCTATATCGCCCACTTGAGAAACCACGAGGCCATAGATTGTCCAAGAGACAGGGGAAGCCCAGTAGTACCACCTCCACCAGATTGGGATTTGCTGCAACAAACAAAAGATATCAATTTACAAGCAAAGAGAGTTTAGATGCTTGAGGACTAAATCTTGAAGCATTTTGAAAAAAAGGGCCAAATATTCACATACCGGCCTAGGAATGAGGAAACCAGAGAATAAGTTCCAGAAGCTTAGGAAGAAAGACATGACAATGGCAGCAATTTGGTGTCCCGGAGTCAGTGCAACAACCATCATCCCGTACATTGTGAAGTAGACAAAGCACATTAATATGTAGTAGTAGAACCACAAGAATTTGCCCGCCGTCCACTCAAACCCGATCATGGAGTACAGAAGAAGAGTGTAGACAAAGGTTTGAATTGCAACGTAGATTGTCTCTATGGCCACCTGCAGAATTTGAGATATTAGGATAGTTCTTTGTCTATGCAACTGGCTTCTGTTATTTTCTTTATACATCGAAATAATATGACTAAGGTTGCCACTATGCCCAGAGTCTGTTTATGTATAAGGGTCAATCTCTAGCTACTTGGCAATTCATTAAAATAGAGATATCTGCACGATCTGTCATGAAAGACTTACCGGGGCTGTTAACGAAAAATTTGCATTTCATTTCTTTCCATATACTAGCTTTGAAGGAAAATTTTCTTGATTGCCAGTTACGCTATCAGTTTAAATATATGATAAAGTCTTGGCTCCTACTTGTACGAGAATATAAACTTATTTAAGGTGAAATGCAGTCTTTTACCTGAGCAAACGCATAAGGCAGAGCAGAATACATTCCAGCTGCTCTTTCACGATAGAAAACTGTTCTCTCAATAGCAACAATAGACTGCACTGCAGAAGCATTGGTGGCTCCAAGGAAAAGAACAGCAGCATACATAGCTCCCAAAAGATTCATAAGGTCTTGTTGCTTGGTTCTGTTAACAAAGTCATTAAGTCAACTCAACAGTCTACATGCAAATACCCAATTTTCAGCAAACGATATAAAATATTTTTGAGTAACTCAAGCAATGAAATGTTGGATGGTTTCACTATTTTTTATTTTGTGGTATAAATAAAATACCTAAATTCAATTGAAAATACAGTATGCAGCTCTCTTTCATATTCCGTCAATTATATAACAGGCATGCACAATTTTTTTGAAACAGTTAAATACACAAAAAACGAATAAATTATAGACTTACGTCTGCTGTCCTTTGTTCCAGAATATTAGACCAAATAAACAACCGATGACGATTGTCATAAAGAACCGAATGGCATTATACTGTGGATTCCTCCAGTAAGACCAGTGCTGTTTCCAGAAGCACGCTTTGCACTGAGTGACAAATGGTTGGGAATACTTGGTAGGGAAGTAGAGGTCCTTGGAACCTGCTGGCGGAGTACTAAGTTCTTCAATGAGTTCTTGGATCCTCCTGAAAGAGTATGAAGAGAAAAAATGAGAACAGTAATAATACTAAATAAGTCAGATAACATGTAAGAAAAGTAGTATTTGTTAAATTATATTATCACATTTACTTACTGGTAAAGCTCTGATTTGGCATAAATCTCAGCAAAATCCACTTCCAGTTGAGCCTCAACTGGTGGAGCAGTGACCTCTAACATCCATGTAGCAGGATTGTAACCATCCTTTATCTTGGGAACCCCATTAATAGCCTGTTGCAGGTTTTAGATATTAGTCCAAACTCTCACTCAGAACAGCAAAGAATTGCTAATACACCTTAAATTTTCAAGTATACGTTTCGAATTGGAGAGAGGAAATATAAGAATAGTAAAGGTTTACTCACTTCAAAATATTCTACAAGCTTGTGAGACCTGCGACCTAGAGGTCCTCCATAAATTACTTGCCCTCCTCTCTTCATCAATAGTAACTGCAACAGGCATATTATTTAGTTTAAAAGATCAATATAACTAGATGCAGACTTATACACAATAATTAACTTATACAATCTAGGAAATCGAGTCATACCTCATCAAAGGCTTCAAAAATGTCTATGCTTGGTTGGTGAATTGTGCACACAACAGTTCTCCCTGTGTCCACTGTATTTCTCACAGTCCGCATAACAATGGCAGCAGCTCTAGCATCAAGACCAGATGTCGGTTCATCCATGAAGATGATGGATGGATTAGCAACCAATTCTACAGCTATTGTCAGCCTCTTCCTTTGTTCTGTTGAAAGACCATCCACTCCCGGAAGGCCGACTAAAGCATCCCTTATCAGATTAAGCTCAACCAGTTCCATTACTTCTTCAACAAACATCTACAGTACAATTGAACAAGAAGGTCAAAGTAGAATATTAAATGATCAAAATTTCACTTTTGGACTCATAATGATAAACTTCTACGAAGGTAAAAGAGATATTCCAAATCACCGACGTACCTTCCGTGTTTTCGTATTTACATCTGAAGAAAGGCGGAGCCAAGCTGAATATAGGAGAGATTCATAAACAGTAACATTCGGTGAATGAATGTCATTCTGTTCACAGTAACCGCTAACCCGAGCAAATGTTGCTTGGTTCTTTGGGTAGCCTGAAATGACGATGCTTCCTTCAGTGTACCCACCGGTCTTTCTTCCGGCTAAGACATCCATCAATGTGGTTTTTCCAGCACCACTAACCCCCACTAGTGCTGTCAGTATACCCGGTCTGAAAGCACCACTAACATCTCGTAGCAGTTGGAGACGATCCTCTTCAACTCCATGTTTTTTCATTTCCTGGTAAAAATATAATACTTCCCAAATGAGGGGGTGGAGATAGCATTTTCCCAAATGATATGAATTTCTGCACTGATCTTAAGGCCACTAAATGCAGACAAGGGAAAGTGTCAATTGGCAGTTGACTAAATAGAGGACTGGGGCACTTGCCAATAGCACGTGATTTTGCCACCTAGACTTTAGCAAAAGTTGTATCTCCTCCTTCTACATAGGATATTGAAGTTTCAAGTCCCCTTGGGGCAATAGTGTATATGTTTGTGTGTGTGTTGAGAGTGTGTGTGTGTGTATTACTTACCAAAAAAGTAAAAAGATATAGCATTTTTCAATCATGGTTAGGGAAAAGCAAGGTGTATAAGCATCCATATACCTTGTTAACCAGATCAGAAAACAGAGTGGTGTTTGCTTCCAAACGCAAAAAGAGCACTAAGGAACAGCAAAAATATCAATGTAACTGCTAGAGAATGTATCGACAACCGACAATTCCAAATGCTAAAAACTAATAAAGAGTGTTGTAAATTATTATTATTTTTTTATAGTCTGCGAAACTCACTCACATGAGTGGATAAACATGTGGATGTGGTGGTTTGGGGATCGGAACATAGGACACGTATGCTTATATACAATTTTAGAGCATAATAACATTCCATACTCTTAAAGCTTAAGCCGATGGAGAATGGTCCGGCTTTGTTAATTATATGAATTGCTCTGATCATGAGATTCTCAAATAGAATGAAATTAAAATGAATCACTTACAGAAGGCATATCCACATAGTAGTTCACATGGTTGAATGCAAGTGAAAGGGGTTGGTAGGGCAAAACCATTCCTCTTCTAGGTGCATGATCCGATGCACTAACATTCCTCACTTCCATATCAACACCTGTGAGTATACACAAGATGTCATTAAAAATGATATTTGACAATACCAAGCCAAATTTATATTAAGGGCATCTACCCTCAATCATGCTGGATCATATAGAAGTTTTATTGTGTGGATTGAGAGACTGAATATCTATTAATTGATAAAACCTCTCTTTCTGTATTCTCAATGGGACATGCATTATTGGGATCTTAGCTATATATTTGTAGCCTGATCCTTTCTCCTTTTCCTTTTTTAACTTTAATGAGGTTAGGATGAGATGTAAAATCTTACTTCTAAACAAACATAGTGAAGTGACAAAAAAATTATTACACTAGGAAGATATCAAATATGGCAACAACTTTACCAACCGCGATAACAGAAGAAAAGAGAAAAGAGGAGAGAGAAGCCACTAGTTCTCTTTAATGCTTAAAAGAACCATCTTCAATATTTTTCATTACTCCTTTGTGGGTAAGAACTGTCCATGTTTCAGGATTAAGTTAGTAGATTCAATTACCAATTTATCAACATAAATTCTTTTCAGGAAACCTGCGTCCTCTTTTTAAACTTCTAAACATTACATTAATTTAAACTTTTAGCAGTTCCAACTTCTTTTCAAACATTAACCATTCAGTGCAACATAGCTCATCGTCAATTGAATCATGAAAAAGAAAGAGCGTTTAAGGTGGCAGAAACATAAATTCTATCAAGAAAACCTATGAAAAAGAACTTGTAATTCTAACTCCCCACAATATATAAATTTAGCAAGTAAATGTCATCTACAACCTAAATTTTACTTAACTACCAGCACGAGGAGTGGAATGAAAAAACAGATCATAGACAACAACAAGAAGATGAAAATATAAAGGTTTAAACCTTCAAATGCCTCTTTTTTATTTTTTCGATCGGATGACTTCTTGTCCTTTTTATCACTATCTTCATCTACAACCACAGCTTTTGCATCACCCAAAGCTGAAATTGAAAAAAAAGGAAATCTTGTCAATTCTAGATTCTATTAAAATAAATAAAAAATTATATACAAGATAAAATAACTTACGATTCAAGAAAGTCAATGCTGCAATAAATAAAATGTTGAAGAGAAGGGAAAACCCCAGGAGTGCTCCAATGCAGATCCAAAACCAATAGTCATCTGTATAGAAGCCTCTTGCCTTGAGAAGGACTTTCCCAACTGTAGGTTCATTAATTCGAGGGTCTGTATTTTTCTGCATTTAAGAACATGTTTAATATAAAAGGTCTTCTAGGTTAGTGCAATGAGAAATCAACAGCGATTTTTTTATTTTATTTTATAGGAAGTTACTCCATGACCAAAATGAATAACGTAAGATTCATAAGCAAACAATAAATCAACTAACCTTACTCCATCTTTCATCAAGAAATTCATTCATGACTATGGCATTCTGTCCATACATCATAGGAGAAATATAATAGCCCCATATCATCCATGGCTCAATGTCATCTGCAGGCACAAAAGGAATTGATGATTGTAATGTTTTGATTATATGACAGACATATAATCACCATACGCGAAGTCCGCAAATTTTTGCCAAATATCAACAGCATCAAGTAAAACGGGCACTAAAAATCAGCACATTAACATTTTGCATTACTTAGAACGAAGTCTCAAAGTGAAAAGAGATTAATGGCTTACTTTTGGCAATTATGAATCCTCCAAGTACGAATACCATTAGTAAGGTGAAGGTACCTAATGTGCTTGCAACAACCTGTGTTCTTCCCACAGCAGCAATGAATCGAAATAGGGACAAAGCCATTTGATGTATACCAAAGAATGCCAAGAACTGCCGAAAAAATCTGAAACAAGATGGTAGAAATGTTTCAGTAAATTACTAGGCATCATCCAGTGATGAAAACACAAAAGTGAGGAGTCAGTAACACAAAATCTGAGCAGTTGCCAAGCAGTGCATGCACATCGAGACTATTTCAAGGAGATAAAAACACATGACTCACTCTCACCTGCTGGCAGCCGGAGCAAACCCAATAGTGTAATATGTAAGAACAATCCATATCCCTGATTCCACGAATGATAAAGGGATCCTGAGGACCCAAATGGGCAAGCCGAAAGCCCATGCAGGATAGAACAAGAAATCCCTCTGTTTATAGAAGACAGGAAGCCTGAATACAGTCATCGCAAGCTCTGCCATCCCGTTAAACATCACATTAATGAGACTGAAAAAAAGAGCTCCATAAAATTTTCCTCCATCTTGCAGATTGCCATATGGCATCTCTGTCCTCAAGAACATAGTCATGGCAATTATTGACATGATCGTAATCTGGGTAGTCTTAAATATGTATACAAAGGAATTCCGTTTCATAAGCAGCCACTCTCTTGCAAAGCATGCCTTAAATAGTTCCCAGTTGGAGATGCCATACTTTTCAGTCACCAATGCAGCTGGGTGGGCTCTGGACTTGTCATAAGGAACACTAAGGTCTGTTGCAAGCTGCTGGCCGATAGGGAATGAGTTAAAGGCCTGAGCAAATTCAGGGACTGAGATAAATCTATAGGGTTGGTTCTTCTTGAACCAATATTGTTCTTGGTCCTTCTTGGAAGTTACTTCTTGAAGAAAGTCAGCAACCCCTTTTCTTTCTGGGCATTTGAAACCCATAAATTCAAAGAATTCGAGGACATTCTCAATTGGACCTTGGTAGACAATTTGACCTTCTGAAAGCAAGATAATGTCATCAAAAAGATCGTACGTCTCGGGTGCAGGCTGCAGAAGAGAGATGACCATGGTTACATCCATAATGTGAACCATTTGCTTCATGAATTTGATTATCTGAAAAGTAGTGGAACTGTCCAATCCAGTCGATATTTCATCCATAAAAAGAGCTTTTGCTGGTCCAACCAACATCTCTCCTACATCCAGTTAAACCAAAATGAGGACATGATATTTCATGACTATTATAGATGATAATGAGGACATGAGCATGAAGTATTATTCTCAAAAAAAGCTAAAAAAAAAACAAGCCTATTTTTTTCCTTAAGTAGCAGCAGATACAACTTCAGCCATGATGTGTTAAAAAGCCAAAAAGATTATGAGGTTTATACCACTAAAATCAAGGAAGAATGCCAGGTTTTCCATACAACCAATATTATTATAAATGTAAAGAAGTACTTTATCTCAGAGATTTAAACTGATTGCAAAAACCAAGAAAAGGTGCTAGTTGTGGTGCGCTAGTCGCTCATGCTTTTGTTTGTAATTGCCATGGCAAATTCGAATGTTTTATTGTTTAACATTTTTGAAGTAATGTGAAAGAACCTTAACAAAGCAATGACATGAAATAGCAAGAAGACTTAAACCAGAAAACAGGCTAAAAGAGCTAGTTGAGGATTCAATCCCCAAAAGGGCAATAGCGGGCGTGCATGTATGTCTTACTTACCAAAATAAAAATAATTAGACAATCCTAAATTAACGGGAGCATTGAAAATCATTTGATTGTCATAGTAAATATTTCTGAGAACATACCAGTTGTCAGACGCTTCTTTTGTCCACCAGATATACCCCTTCTCATCTCATCACCAACCAAAATATCCGCACAAATATCCAATCCAAGTATCTGTTATAAAATTTTAAATTGTAACCTTTTTATTTAAAAGAAAAAAGAAAAGAAATTTAACCTGGATCAATAAACCAGATGAAGCAATTTGAAATGGATACAATGAACCTTGAGAACATAATCTGTAACCAAACTGGTTTCTTGTCCTGCCATTGCTGTCGCCTTCATGAATGCATCAATCTCAGGATCTGGTTTAATTCCTGCTTCTTTTTCTCTTTTTGAGAGTTCAACTAGCAATTCATATCTTGTGCCAACTCCCAAACAGCGTCCAGAGAAATCCAACGTCTCTCTCACTGTCATCTCTCCATAGTGAAGATCATGTTGACTAATATATGCACAGGTTCTCTGAGGAACAAATTCAGTTAATTCATGACCACAGTAGGTGACTCTCCCAGATACCTGTTCAAAACTCCTACTCGTCAATGCCTGTGAAATCTTATACGTTTGGGCGTGAAAAAAAATAATAAGAAGAAGAAGATGAAAAATGCCTTTAGATCCTGATCAAGCTTCCCAGCAAGTGCCAGTAACAACGTTGTCTTTCCTGCGCCTGGTGGACCCAAAAGCAGTGTCATCCTGAAATCACCAAATCAGCAATAATAATAAATAAATAAAAACAATAACCACAATGAAAACTGTGGCTGAAAAATGGTACTACCAATTTCTTTCAAGAGAAAGACAGATTAACATAATCTATTAGTAAGAAAACAACGATAACTGTGTGCCAAAAATGACTTCAACAATTTATACTCCTAGCGAACAATTAGTAAAGGGCGAAAAGTAAACTTATGAAGAAGGAAATTTTCATCATTGACAAGGCAAAGTAAGAGAATTCAATATAGTTTTCCATCTTGGCCAGTGTGCTGCATTCCAGGAAAAAAATTATTTTGGCAATCCCGGCCTAAAACAAAAATGAAAATGAAAATCTTTACAACATAAAGATACCTCGATGGTTTCACTGTTCCGCTAATATCCTGAAGTATCTTGATTTTTCTCTTCTTAGATGGGGCTAGCCGAATCAGTCCAAGAATACCCTATTGTCCATAGCAGGTCAAAAGAGGGAAACAAAATCAATTATCAGAAAAGCACAAATCATGTACATTTTTTCAGATGAAATTTTTGCGAAACATACATGATACATCCACTTGCTGATTTTCATAAATATTAAAATGAAAATTTAGAAAATAAACTTACTTCACAATCAAAATAGACATTTTTAAACAATAAAAAATAAAAAATCCAGTGGAATCAAAATTTTAACAATTCATTTGAACAGAATCACATCCACCCAAAAGAAACAAGACAAGAAGATTATAATCAAACATTGAAATTCAAGAAACTGACAAACCACAGGCAATAATTTCAAATAATTTTTCCATTTGATGTTGACAGAATTGAGTCATTTCAGTTGTATAGCAGTGAATCATCCAAAATTTTGGTAATTCTTTATTCTTCTTACTACATTTTTAACCATTCTATGAAAAGTTAAATCCCTGAAAACTAGAAGAAAAGAAGAGAAGAGAACAAGCTACCTCAAGTGTGTTCATAGTAGCATTAACCAGAGTTGGAAGTGCCCTGCTCCCAATATACACATCTCCATCCACCGATAAATTCTCGAACCGCACTTCAATCTTCGGAATCTCAATTCCCACCCTAACCCACAAACAAAATTCATAATTAAAACTTAATTCTAAGAACTCATACTCATCAGAACTAAAAATCATATTTCAATGAACAAGGCAAAAAAAAATACTAAATATTATACTTCAATTCCCACCCTAACCCACAAACAAAATTCATAATTAAAACTTAATTCTAAGAACTCAAACTCATCAGAACTAAAAATCAGCAAAAAATTACTAAACAGAATTAGTAATCAAACTTAAGTCTAACAAAAGAAAAGAACCAAACTCATATAGAACTAAAAATTACACTTCACAGCCCCCAGAAAAAAAAAAAAAAAAAAAAAAAAAAATTAATGAATAAACTTAATTCTAACAACAGAAAATAACACAACCCACCTAACCCACCTAAACCATAAACAAAAATTAATAATCAAACTTAATTTAAAGAAAAAAATAAAAAGAACACAAGCCACCACCTAAACCAGAAACAAAAATTACTAATCAAACTTAATTCTGAGAAAAGAAAAGAAAACACAACCCATCTAACCCAGAAACAAAAATTAATCATTAAACTTAAATCTAACAACAGAAAAGGACTAAACTAAATACAGATTGAAAAATTACAATGAAGAATGCATAATTGAATTGAAAAGAATTAAACTGATACTGACCTATCAGTTCTGTCCCTCAATCTTCTTAGAAACTTGTCGTTGTCTTCTTCAACAACATTGAGTATGCTCTCCATTAACAGCTTCTTATCTTGCATACCCAATTTAGTTACATCAACTTCATCATGAACAACCCTTCCATTATCAAGCACTTGCCTCAGCATCCCCTTGCGGAGGCGGTCGTACGTCGGAAGCCTCTCGATGGCGGCCCACCGGAGCTCCTCCTCGTCGTCCTCCTGCCGCCCGCTGCGGTTGAATACGTCCGGCGGAGGCTGCCACACGTCCCGGAAACTGCCGGACGCCCAGCTTCTCCGGCTGGTCGACCCCAAGCTCCGCCGGCTGCTGGTCGATCTCGCCATGTCGTCGCCGACCAGAGCTGCCGCCATTGTGATCTACTAACGGTGGCCGGAATCTTGACGGGAGATACCTTTTTGGGAATATTCCAGTGGCCTGAATATCACCCAGATCGTGGATATATTGGATTTTTACTTCTTACTCGTGGATTGATTGAAATCAATCTTTTTCTTCACTGGGTATCACTGCAAGTCCACAAACTCTTGACCAAGACAAATTGCGTCATGTGTAATTCCACATATGTAATTGCATGGATGTGTGTGCCTATATATGCGTTTGTGTGTGTATATATATGTATGTATATATATATTTAAGAGCAGGTTTTATCGGTAGTCTGGGATTGCTATTACAAAGTGTGTGTGGCAGAGAGATGGAGCAGTGGATTTGGAGAGACGGCTGAAAATGAAACATTTAATGATTTAAAGGGTAAGTTTATCAACTTAAGTTATTTATTATTATTTTTTTATTAAAAAAAAAAATAAAGAAAAAGAGTTTTTTAACTTCCTTTTATGACAGATTTTAAAAAAGACAAAGAGTTTTATTAACTTACTTTTATGACAGATTTTTTTTCCTTTTTTTTTTTTTGTAAAGTTTTATTTATCAACTTGTGTTATTTTTGTCCTACCTTGTAAATTCATATTGCACATGACAACAAAGGAATTTAATACTAAACGCAAATACAAATATTAAATGATACTTTTTCTTCTTTTTTTTTTTTCTCTTTAATGAAATTAATAATTGAACAATCATCTATTTTTTTTTTTTTACCTAATTAAGCGATCATTTTGACTTGTTAGAAGTTCGGATGAAAGCAATTTGGAAGTTTTTTATTATTATTATTTTAATAACGTATTAATTTCATTAAAAAAAATCATTAAGAAAAAATATTCACACACATCCACAATTACTTCCTCACTTTTCTTTTGAAATATAAGAGGTTATACTAATTGAACTTATGATTCAATAATTTTTAAACTTTAATTTTACAAATACTTTGGGGTTATTGTTGAAATAAAACAAGCTTTCAGCAGTAAAGTTGTTAATAAATTGCAATTAATAAAAAGACATGTTATAATAAGTTTTTTTTATAATTAAATTATTTTTCTATTTATTTGGTAATATTTATTTTTAAACACTTTTACAATAATATCTTCTATTGTTAACTTTATTAATAAATTAATGTAATTGTCTTTAATATGATATTATCATATTCGACAACAGCAATTAGTAAAAAGTACCGACGTGTAAGAGAAAACAATTCAGCCCATTCGTTTACGCTATTTGTGTGCAAAATCTCATTTAGAATCCAGATTTGAAAAAAAAAATAAAAAAAAAAATAAAAAAAAAAAACCTCAAATGCAAGTCTTTACTTTACGTCTAGTGCAATCCAAGTATGTAACATTTATCTTACATAAACTTTTGATATTGGCTTAATTAATTTAGATTTATAATGTGGGTTGAAATGTTTTATAGTTTTAAATTTTAAAATAAGATCTGTTCTTCTTTAATCAAAGATTAATTTGTACTACTAAATTTTCTTTTTAAAAAAAAAAAGGAGGAGGAGAAATTCGTACAAAAGTTGACATGATATGGGGTGGACATCGCTTCTTAAATGTGACCGGTGAAGTTGAAAATAGTAGGAGAACACAGTCAATGTCGTACAATGAGTCCACACAGCCTATATATTATATATATAGGCATCCAAAGCATAATACAGTAAGTAATATTATACAGTAGCAACTTGCCCACGTTAGAGACAACTAATAATTAAACAATCTTTATAAATATACGAAAAATGTTCTTCCACGTATCTCCGAGGCATGAATCTTACGTAGCACTACACAAGTGCTAATGTGTAGTAAAAGCTTTCATCATCACAACCTCCGTTGTCATTTTCATATATGTGTTGGGCGCTCTTGTTGGAGAGTTCAACGCTGTATTAATTAGGTCATTGAATAGTATTAAATTTATTTTTATTAGGATAAAGATTCTTGTATAGGATATTTATAGTGAATTATTAAATTTATTATTTTAATTAGTTAATTATGTAACAAATAAGTAAATAAAATCTTTCACTTAATTGTATTTGGTATAAATAATTAATTAAAATTTGTTCAATTAGACAATTTATTACAAATGTTCAGTTTTATTATTGCACCATCCATATTATTTATCTTTACACATTAGGTAATGTACTATCTTAATCCCTTCACATATGTGCACAAACTTAATATGGAAACTATATTTACATAGAGTTAGGATCCTTAAATAACAAACTAATCTATTTTAAAAGTTCATTTTTCACTTTGGTTGAATTAAGTAAAATAATTACATATGCATCAATAACTATGGTTTAGGTTGAAGTTCAAAAATGAACTATTGCTTAGGTCGAAGTTCAAAAATGCCTCCAAACATTTATTCCAAAATACTAAAAATTATTCTCCTAAAATCAAGTATTTTCTTTAAATAATTTATTTCTTTTAACTTTGAACCATATTGCTGCAAATTTCATATATGCACACGATAACTTATACAAACAATAAAAAAAAAGAAAAGAAAAAGATTCAATATAGTAAAAAATATGACAATCAAAGGTAGTCCCCAAAAAATATATATAATTAAACTTAAGAATATATAAATTGTCTTTAATGTGGTGTATGACTTGAGATGATCATCAATTTTTTGGCTCAATTAATTATATTCGTTTTATAAATAATAAAAAAATTTATGTACCATTTACTGAAGCAACCATTTAGTTTTGTCATGATCTCTCTCTCTCTCTCTCTCTCTCTCTTTCTCGTGCGTGTGTATTGTATGTATGTGTGTATAAATATATATATTCAAAGGAAAGTTTCACATTTTCAAGATTATATTGGTATGAATTAGGAGATATGGTTAAAGTTATGTGCAAATAAAATTACATATATATATAGGATGAATTTCCACTTACTGAGAAAAAAAATTCTATACATAATTAATTTCCATTAAATTATTTGCATATTTCTAAATTAATATTTGCAAGTTTGAACTGAAATGGATTAGAAGATATCGTTTTGCACGAAATTTATATAATACACACACATATATATATTGTTTTTTATTTTGTTTATTTTGGTAATATATACACCAATGCCAAGTTGAAAGTCAACTTAGAAATTTTGTTTTTCTAAATTTTATGAACGAAAGAATGATTTGATTTAGAAAGAATATTTTGGTATTTTGAAATAAGAGTTTGGAGGATATTTTGGACCTAAATAATAGTTTTAATGCCTATGTAATTATTTTACTGACCAAATTGAAAAATTAACTTTAATAATACACTGATTTGTTATTTAAGGTACACAAATCTACTTTAGTGTAGTTTTCCCAACTTAATAACCAGAAGAAATCATATTTGGTAATGTCCATTTGTTGCAAGATTTTTGGAAGCAAAAATATGAAAGCATATGGCTGCGTTTAGTAACGAGAAACGTTTCTTGTTTTCTATTGTCAACCTCTAAAAAGGCAAAATGAAAACAAAAATCGCGTTCAATAAAATGTTTTAGTTTTTCGATAATAGAAAACTTTTCAATTTTTGTGAAGAAAAGAGAAAACATCAAAATGATTTTTCTTATATTTTCAGCACTATATCGCAGAAACGTTTTCACTAATGTTAATGCACACAGGCACTATTCATTTCAAATAAAATTCATATTATTTGTGTTATATACTAAATTGCATATTAAATGGTAATAAAAATATATATATTTTTAATATAGAATAAATTAAATATTGAATATTATTTTTTATTTGATAAAAATATATTTTAATATATAATATATTAAATAATAATGTAAATTATTTTTTATGACAAAATAATTTTGATATAGAATATAATGTTATTAGATTATTAAGCAGTAGATATTTTATATTATTATGTATCATATTTGTATTATATTATATGTAAATATTAAATTATAATTAATTTACAATATTATAGCACAATATATATTTTATTATATATAAGATATATTATTGAATATTTTTTATTCATAATAATTTATTATATGCTAAATATATTATATATCACATAATAAATGTATACATCATGCATATACATGTATTTATATACATAATTGGAAATCAAGTCATTGACCCTCCCCCTTCTATCTAATTACTAACTCCTAAAATTCTTGCCATGAAAAAAATAAAAAATTAAAGAATATTATGTACATTTTGTAGCAAATATATTGTATTTACTGAACATAGTTATTGTTTTATATTTTTAAATTTGTGACAACAACAAGTGTCAATAAACATCATTTCTGTTTTCTATTTTCATTTAAGAAAGCAAAATCATGTTTTTGTTTTCTTAAAACTGCAAAAACAAAAAATGAAAACGTTACTAAATGCTTTTTCATTTCCGGTATCTATAAATGAGAGCATTATGAGCTATATCCGCTTCAACGAGGATAGTAGTCTCTAAGCAAGTTTGAAAAATATAATTGTTAGTTTAAAAATGTCATTTAAGAGGTTTTTTAAAAAAAAGAAATTATTGTTCATTGCTACATGATATAAACGTTACAGTACGAAAATATATAAAAACACCAAATTGGTGTTTCGGTTTTTGCCCACCATTCATAAAATGTTTCAATGTTATGCAAAATAAAATAATTTATAACAAATGTGCTTTTTCTTTTTGGACCAAAAAAAAAATAAAAAATTGCCTACCAATCAGGCCCTTATTTTTTGCATTCTTTAGCACAGCAATATAGCATTTAAAAAGTCTTGAAATTTGTTCAAAATGAGAATAACCTTAATTGTACCGTGTACCCTTTATTTTATATGTATTAACATCTGACAACCCAACATTAACTTGTCATTAAGACTGGAATTTTTTTTTACGTGATGACCAATTTGCCCTTCCCTTTACTAAAAAGACACCATCAAGTCTTTTTGAACTGCAACAACAACCCACCATGCTAGAAAAATACAGAAAGCTTAATCATGATGCTCACATCCACTCAAAAATAAAAATAAAATAAAAGGACGAGTTTACCATTATTGACTACCACCAAGTGGGATTACCATTATTTTGTATTTCCAATCCTTGTTCTGTGGTGAGGCACGGATCAAAGAATTCATCCTTGTTCTATAGTGAGGCACGGATCAAAGAATTCATACGAGAGGAGTAAATTTATATAGAGGAATTTTTTTTTTTATAATTTTAGTGAGAGTAATTTCAAAATTTTAAAAATATAAATGCAAAAAAAGTATAAATTTAAGGATGTAAAATATAATAATAAAAAATTTTAGTAGGGGCAGATGCTTTTACTGAACCCTTCACAGATCCATGCCCGTTTGTGGCGATTTTATTATGAATTTACCATGCACCATTGAAATCGAATGAGCCAGG